TTTGCCGGGGGTTGTAACTAATTTTGGGGGTATCTACGTGTGCTTGGGCAAGGTGCTCCGGGTGCTGCTGTGTTTGGGATCGAGAATCCCCCCTCCCAAATCATCCATTTTCCCCACTGGAAGGGATGTGTAAAAATCCATCAGCGGGAACAGCTTGGAGGAGTTCTGGCTGTTTCCCAGCCCAGCGATGCCCGTGGTGCTCTCAAGCGCTCGCCAAGGTGTAAGTAAAGCTTGAAAATGGCTTTAAAAAAAGCTTTGGCAGGAGGTTCGTCCCCCACACCCCCACCCTGAGAGGCAGCCACCCCTTGGTGCACGCCGTGCGGTGGCTGCTTTCATCCCCCTCAGGGCTGCAGAGCCAGGCTGGAGCTGGGGTGCAGGGGATGGCCAGGATGGGTGCAGATCCTTGCAGGAGGGAACATGGGGTGGCCCAAGGTCCGGCAACCCCCCGTGAGACCCCAAAAAGCAGCAAGCGCTTGGGGAAGGGAGCTAGCCCCACTAGGAAAAAAAAAATATCAGGAAAAATGAGTGGGGGGAAAAAAAAAAAGCTTTAAAAAGAGGTCAGAGCAACCCCAAAATCCACACACCCTCCTGTAACATGCATATGTGGCACCCCACAAACATCTGCAGCCCTGCGGCACGCTATGTGGGTGACACGCCGATGTGTCACCCCATCCCACAACACCCCCCCACCCCAAAACATGTGCCAACACGCTCTGACCACGCAGACGCAGCCCCGCGACACTGTGCAAACCCGGGGTCCTGCTGCAAAGGTCAACACAGCGCAGCTGCCCCCCCCAAAAATAACGCTGCAAAACCAAGTAGGGAGCACCCGGACACCCCCTCCTCAGCCCACAGCACAGGGAAGAGGGCTCAGCCCTCCCAGCTCCAGCGAGGAGACAAGTCATAAACCAGCCCGATTCGGGCACAAACCGCTTTAGTTTTTATTATTTATTCACCAAACAGGAGCACGGTGGGATCCAGGCCAGCCCCCCCCAGGCAGCGCTGGGAGCTTGAGCACCCCAGCAGCAAGTCAGGGTGATGGGAGCACTGAGGGGGTGTCCCTGACTGCACCCCAACTCTAACTCTGCCCCCAAACCTCCCCAGGGAGCTGCTGTGGGAGGGGGTCACCAGGGACTACCACTACTAACCAGTGGCATTAATGCCCCATGCCCTGCTCTGGTGATTTCCAGGAGGTGCTGGAAAAAAAGTGGGGAACAGAAAAATAAAAAATAAAAATCACAGTTGAGGGGTCACATCCCTGCTCCCCTGCCCAAAATTGCCCTTGGAGAATTGGAGAGTAAGGGGATCACTGAAATAATTCAGTGGAGGAACAGCAACACCGTAAGAACCAGGTTGTACCTTGCCTGGCTTGCTGCAACCCCCAGCAAAAAAAAAAAAAAAAAAAAAAAAAAAAA